TGGACATGCTGGTCGCCTGGGGGAAACACCTTACTGCCTTCACACTCCTGTCGCAGAGGACAGTACGACTTTACCCCCAGACCGCCTCGTACCACGATTACTCGTAGTGCGGGGTCTCGCTGCTCTTGGTCTGGTTGCTCCCCTTTGGCCTTCCTGGCATGGTTAGACTTTGTGGAACGAAGTTCCAGCCAGTGTAGCCCGCGGGATCATTGCAGCACTCAAGCCCGACCACCACGTCAAGGTGGCAGCTTCAGGTCGGGTAAAACGAACCAAAATCCTTTACTCAGCTAAAAAGAGGACCGGTGAACAAGCGGGCGAATGAACCGGGATGTATCGTTCGCTCGCTCCCTGGGTGAGATGGCTCAGCGGTTAGACGGAGTGGTACTTGTGAACGTCTTTTGTGACTTTATTGGTCAGTTCCTCAGTAGTACTTGGTGTACGGGCAGTGGGTGCTGTTGCAACCCCCTCTGAGCATCCTTGGAGTAAAATTGGTCGCATCGCCATTAGCCGCAAATGTTGTGACTGAGTCCTTGTTTGCCAGTCGTTTTCGGGGCGAGGTGGTTCAGTGGTTAGAGCGCGAATTTGCAGACGGGAAGGTCCATGGTTCGAACCCGACCTATGCCTTTTGACTTCCTTTGCCTAGCCTTGGGCGACCTGGTAGTATCTCAGTCCACGTACTTTCTTCAGGTGGCATTGCACCTAGGCACCGAAAGGGTCTTGCAGCTGAACTATTTTTGTGCCGGTCGTTTTGGTACACACGAACTTCTTCAGCTGAGGATCTTATTCTGTGCAGATTCGATAAAGTTCCCCCAAACCCCAGAAACCAACTTCCCGTTTGGCAGTAGAATAGCTTTGTTAAACACAAGGTAGAGAAACCTACCAAAACCCGTTACACAATACATTGCAAGCAACCTCTGAAGGCACTGACCAGGACTTAGATGAGATAACCGTAACTATACGTGAAACCGGGATCTCTGCTTGAGATGTCTACTATCGTGTCGTGTAAGTCACTGATCTCAGGATGGTCACTATCACCTTTCGAAATGGAGTGATCTATCCCTTCCGGTTCCGAGTACATTCCGGACAGAAGGTCGATCAGACAATAGCTGAAACGTAGTCTGTGTGGGCTGAGGCTTGGTGGAGTCAGAAAGTTCAGGAAATGGTACAGGGAAGTGTGGCTGGCAGTGCACGGAATCTGCTCAAGTCCGGTAGAATAGTACTTATACGGCCTTCGGGAAGCGGGTTAATCAAGGACAATATCAGAGACCTAATATGTAGTAAAGACCCGCATCTAGATCGCCGGGTGGAATGTTTTTAACAGTAGTTTATTTGCCCTTCCGCCCATGTATCTCCTTTGTTCGACTCTCTCATTTTGATCCGTGGTCGGTAAGTTTAGGCGTACCCTCGAGGCTTTCCTACCTTAAGCTGCTAGACTACATGAGCTTCCCCCTACCTTGTTCAAAGTTGGAGGGGAATTTTTTTGTGCTCTATTTCGAATATGTTGTTTGTATGTGTTTGAGAACAAAAAAAGTTTCATCAGAATTATAGCCTATTTTCACTCGTACTCGTGTTCAAAACAGTTATCCTAATCATATAAATAAAAGTCTCACGGCTTCAGCAAGATGACCGTTGGCCCCCCTTATATTCCGATGCCTAAATTTGGGCACGTGAAATTCTAGTCCTTGAGCAGCAAGCAAGATTTGGACCTGGTATAGGGTTCATTGGTCATATCTTGACACCGCATCATATACTCGAGCAGTGCCACGTCTACCACCGACCAACAACTGCGATTCTTTCTCCAGTTTAAAGGAATCTTCGATCCTGTGGAAAGATTGGCTCCCATATATTCTTGGCTAGAAGGAGATGCCTTTAAAGTTTGTAAACATTTTTGATACTCTGCGTTCAGATTAGAGTTTACAATGGACTGTCCAGAAGTTTCCTGGTATAGCGGAGTTCTTCAACGTTGTCCTTTCTCCCCTATTCAGTTAAATCTTATCGTCGGCGTTATCATGAGGCATGCGTTCCAAGAGACCATAAATCTAGTCTTGCTCAAGGTACCCTGTCTTTTATGATATGGTCAGTATCCAGATATACCATTACTAAGTAAACTGAATGGAAAATTGCAAAGCCCTGGATGCTGAGGGTTCATAGGTCTATCCCAAACCGGGCTCATAGTATATTCCTGTTTCTAAATTCATGGCCCCAAGGTATTTTAGTCCCTGTGCTTGATTTTTTCACATGACAGTTGTCCAATGTCCACAAGCGACTTGGTTTCCTAGCCAAAACATACGAGATTTTGAGTTTGCATGCGTCACTCTTTAGCCCCAGGTCAGTTGCTTTCCTAAGCCACAGTTGCTGACAGATGACGGCTACTTTCAACGCCTTTATGCTTCGACCATCAGGAAAAGTACCAGCAGTGAATAGGAGCTGGAGAATGCGGGAGATGTAATTTATGTCCTGTAATGTACACATGATGGGGCAAGTAATTCTTTTATAGACTAACGTTTGATTTCTCGAAATGTTGGGGGCAGACTTTCAAATAAAGCCGTACATTTTCCTTGTCTGGGTTCGCGTTGGACTATGGTAATATAATTTAGAGTTTGCAAGAGTCTAAAATTGTATCTAATACTTTTCACAGGTATGATTGTCGAGCCTATTTGCAGGACCTCGCCGATTATGATCGCGTCATCTCGCTCAATCAAGAAGACTACCTGTCTGAGGAGGAAGTGGCTATTGAAAAAATGTGCGAATTTGAGCGATACCTGGAACTACAAATGGATGTCGATGACATGACTACTCAGGCTGGTGAGTACAAGCCGTACGTATCTGTTCGTTAAATGCCCACTGTCGACATCCTTTTTTCATAAGTTGATCCTTAGCACTCAGTTCACGCTGCGTTGGCAACCTACACGCTGGGATGGGCACCCGTGACGTTGATGTGCATGAGGTTGGTAAGTTACGTAATTTCATCAGAGAGATTTTCAAAGCTAAGAAGACCAAAACCTATTTGGTTCTACTTTACTGTTGCCAATCCATTATTCAAACTTTGATACTTTCGCACAGATTGATCATGCCCTGTCACTTGTACCTTTTAGATGCTGTCCGGAGGCAGTGAAGCTGAGCTAACGGGCTCCAAGGATAAACTTTCGATAAATGTAAACACTGCTTAGTAATTTGCATTTCTTTTCATATATTTGGAAGCTTGACTTTGGGCACTTGACACCTGGTTTCTTTTCTTCTCCCCATCACAGAGGAACAGAGAAAACGTGAGCTAGAGGCGTCGCGCTGCAAGTACGGTGCAGTTGACTTCTCTTACGATGAGTCGAATGATGATTGCAAAGAGCCAGAAGTAGAAAATGGAGCGACTGGTGGTGAGTGTCTGATGATTTTTCCTGTCTTGTCGTTTCAGTAACAGGTTACTTGCTGAGTAAAGTAAAATGGAGTTCTTACTGCTTATTAGCCTCGGGAATAAGTTCACTCCATCTCGAAATGCCCTGATTGCTACTGGAAATCTGAAGCTTAATTCAGGCTTAGAAACTCACCATTCCTCATAAGTTGCCAGTCCTGACGCGAATAGCCTTATGCAGGATCGAGATGATATCCGGTTTTCCAAGTTTAGACAGGAACATAGAGATGCAGAAGTCGGGTTCGAACCACAGACCTTCCAGTCACTAGGTTCGCACCCTAACCACTGGGTTATCTTGAGCTTCTGCCGCTGATCAGCTGTGATTAAGCTGATCGTGAATGTGCAATGCCATTGCACGACAACTGGTGAATTAACGTGATATGTGGAACAACGTCGTTTTGCAGTTCTGATCCTTTGGTCGTAATGCCAATTTCTGACCAGACCACTCCAGGATACCTTGAATCTTGTCGATTATGTGGGGGGTGAATTTATTTACCAGTGTAGCTGCATCACTCCAACCGGTTCGGCTGACCATCATGTTACCATCCAGAGCGTTCACCAACCTGTAGGGTCTAGAGGGTGCATATAATTCGTCTGTTGGGGATCGGGTTTGCAATACTTTTGTGTGAGTTATAATGCCGGCTGCTGCGAATTAATGTTCCAATGCTTTCGCTGTCCCATCATGAATGTTCTATGAATATTGCTCATGTCTAGTGGGAACACCGGACCAGTAAAATGTGAGCACACCAAATCGCTGCTAGAAGTAGAGGGACGCGGTAGATACTTTGGTGGCAAACATGGGTTGTAGTGACCTAGCTACTTGTTTCGTGCATCCTAGTCCGCTTTATGGGAAGAAATTTCCGTACTGGAAACTACCTAAGACTAGTCAAGCCATGGTCGTGCGCTGAGGTACAAAAACAGACATGACTGTGCTCCTGACACTTGGTAGGGACGTTGATATGCATCGCCCAAGAATGAAGCCAGCACTGTGCGTGTCTTTAGTGCATGACCACATCCAATTTTTCCTGCGACATTCATGACCAACACAGTCTCCTATCCTTTCATCGTATAGCTGTCGATTAAAAAAGAAAAATGATGACTGATGTACTCAGACTGCCCAAGCATACACAAGTGAAGTTGAGAATCGTCACTTTCACCCGCGGGCCATGCGTATATCGTGCCACATTATTATTGTCTGGTTGCCATGAAGGCGTTCCGTGAAGGCATTTGTCCGACTTAATGTGTTCCGTGGACCTGGTACACTGGTTAGTCTCCGGTAATCGAGCACTTAGGTAAAGGATGTTGAATGATCTTCACTTTTACTGCACTTTCTGTCAAATAGTTTCTAAGCAGTTTCATTCATTTCGAGCCCGACAAACCTCATCATTGTGATTATACTAACACATTTGATAATAGTTTTCTTGCCCCGGGGTTCTGTCCTGGTTACCTTACTGTTGACGCGTAGTTAAGTCGGAAAACCTGTATTGGTCTAGCACTTTGCATCTTGCCAACGGTCATTCAGAACCGTCTATGCATGTACGGTTAGGGTGTTCGCCCTTGGAAGCGATGCTAGAGGGGTTACAGTGTCTGACTTTGTGGATCTTAACTGGATTGCTATCCTCAGTGGTTCCTGCTGGAAACAACTCATGTCCGATAGTGAACTGGAGGTTCTCTTTGGGTTTTCAGAAAAGTTTAGTGACAATCGATAGAATTTACCCTTTGGGTTCTTTTGTTTGATTGGGTTCATCGAATTATATCGGATAAGCCTCCAGAAAGGCCTTTTCTACTTGATCGTGTACTGGGGAGTTCTAGGTTAGCGCAATTGTTGATTTAGCAACGAAGTGCACTGGGCTCTGTACTAACAAGTAATTATTGAGAAATCCATTGTGTCTCCAACCCATCCGCTCTATCGATTATTCTCCCGAAGAACACCCCAAATGCCTCTGTACGTTGACCATTACTTGGTGTAGTTCTCGTCCAGGGACATGATACACCAAATGTAACTGTGTCCACGCATTTATGCTACGGTTTCCCCTTAAAAGTGTTTTGGGTTCTGGTAGACACACTAGGCTTGCCTGTCACCGCTAGGGGTAGGGATGGATGGATTTGATTATTTTGGTACTGATTTGGATCAGACCACTGTTGATTCGTTAGCCGAACTTGGCAGTTTGTCCGCGAACGTTTCTTCATCAGTCAAGGGCGTGATTTCATCCAAGCCGTGTGCTGCACCGGAACAAAAGGATGACGATACTCAGAACTACACTAGAAACCAAAGAGAAACTAAACCATGTACAGCGGAGCCTCAACAGAACGGATAGACCGATTTCACTGGAATGTACATCCAACTGATGAATCGATAGACCAAATCGCCCAAAGGATGCAGTACTTAGTAACCTCCGAGTGTTCCATCTTCAGTACACCTGAGCCTTGGTTGTCACAGCATTCCCCTTTGTAAGAAGCTACATTTCATTATAAGCCGTCGTTCTTTTGGCACTTGGGCGTTTCTTATATTGTTTCTCCACTAACAGGAATCACACCTGACAACGTTCGCTTACGTTCTTGATTGTCATGTCATGTCCCGTTAAGAAAACCCTCATTTTGTTGGTCAGAGCCATCAGAGAAATCACCCTACTGGCACAGCAAAGCCCACAGTATCACTGTAGCTCAGTAAAAATCACGACTAGCTTTTGAGGCTAATTGTTAATGTGCTACATGTCGATTAAACACTACCGACCATGAAGCCAACGCCGTTCGGAAATAAATGGACTTGCTGTTTTAAATCGGCCCAAAAAGTGCTTCGATCAATCAGTCGTGGCCATTCCACCATCGGTTGTGGTGAACGCAGTCGTACAGCATGCTGATTCTCTCTGGTGGCCATCTGTTTAAGGGTTCTGCGAACCGCGCAATCTTTTATGAAGACGACGAAGCCAGCTCACTTATGTTGACGGTTTTACTATTCCGCTATATCGAGTCGGATAGGGCCACTGAGGTTGGTCAACCTCAGGTTTTCACCGTGTCTAAATTCAACGGAGAACACCTCGGGATTTGACTGTACCGTCGAAGCATTGGTACTTGTAGTAGCTAGTAACGGAATTGAAGTCACAGTAATTTAAACTTGCAATAACGGAACTGGAGCAATCAGTAGTATCTACGGAAGCAGTGAAATAACTTCTAGTGAAGGGGCTGCCGTTAGGTCACGGTTTTCAGGATTAGATCTCTGTAAACAACAATCCAAACTTAAGACGGTTACGTCATGTGTTCGAATTGTGGACTGTAATTGTGTAGACTATGGCTCTACCGGATTAGACTTGCTGAATTCCTTAGAACCTCATTCTCATACTGTTGAATTGGTGCTCAGTGTTTTAAAGTTTGTGGTACTACCTAATAGGGCACCAGTGTTGCACCATATACCACGAAACTTGGAGCAACCTTATCTTCTCATCAGTATACAGAGACAACACTGCCATGGTTCAAGGTTAGACCGTCATCAAACATATTCACTGATGGATATCAAAATTGAGATAACTTTAGAAAAAAGACGGAAACTTCAAATAAATGTGCTTTCGAATATTCGGGTAAACTCCAGCAATGTGTAAATAATTCATTCGGCAGCATATATCTTGTATCTTACCGTGACAATCTAAGAATTAGGCATTCATCATACCAAAGTACAGAGTCACAAAATTCGAAGTAGGATTTTTTTGGTCGAGATGTGTGTACTGAGCCTATTACCTGCCTATTTACTAACTCTTACGTAGAACTGAGGGACCTGGTACTGTCCCAGACCTCGTGTTTCCTTTGGGTTGCGTAATAACTAAGCACTGAAACGGTGCCACATGACATGCAAAACTAGAGCCAATTGGATCACTTGTTTGCTGGGGGCGCGGCGAAGTCCATCAGTCGAGGGAGCTGTTAGTCATCAACTCGATTCCTTTTGAACACCCCAGCGATTTAATTAACAACAACCCAATTCTTTCAGCAGTGACACCCTTCCGGTGCTTAGATACTACGTGTTTCGAAAGATCTACAAAGAATGCTAAATTGTTCAACTTCAAACAGGCTAACAGAAAAATTAGGATTTGGTTCCAATCGATCAACTTCCGGTAGGTAGTTTGCGCCTTGATCATCAAGCTTTCTCAAGCTCTGATTATTACGGTCACATTGATTGTCTGCCGATTTCCTATAGCACCTGTGAGCGAGTCCTGTCTCTTAACCTCTTTTTGTTCCCTTTCAGCCGATACCGCCTCCCACGTAGATGAGACGGCAAACGATCCTTATATATGTCCTCCGGAATTGAAACACTTGACTGATGTCCATTTTCCTGATACGGACAAACAGGCACAGATAATTGAGCGCACAGCTGTGTTCGTGTCTCGGCAGGGAAGTCAGATGGAAATTGTGCTCAAAGCCAAACAAACTTCCAACCCATTGTTCGGTTTCCTAAACTACGACCACATCTTGAATCCTTTTTACAAAGAGATGGTCAAGCTAATTCGTCAAGGTCGCTACGTTCCGAAGCTCCGTCCGTCCAAACCCGAAACTCTGGAGCAAGTGGAACCAAATAAGGTATATCGCTTTACTCGCCGTTTGTTGGGAATTTTCTTATCAGTTCCACTTACAAGGGGTTTTTAAGTTACTAATAATGGCCTCCAATAAATCTTGTTTTAAATTAAGCGGTTTCCTGCACTCCTGATGCCATTGTATTGGTTTATATCACCGGATCTGAGAGGTGTAATTTGTGAACAGCATTGTGCGATGAGTATCTCAACCTCAGTGCTTCTCGGCTTTTCGGTATAGATTGGCTTCACTTACAGGACGAAATCTCCACAGTTCCTGTCTTTTGGGGAGTGTTCTTGGGCATTTTACAGCATGTGGAATGATTATACGACCTTCGGTTTTTGCGCCCTTAGTAAGGTTTTTGTTCACAACCTGTGAAATCTTGAGCCCCTTCGTCACTATCTTTTACACTGGATGTTCTGGACTAGGTCAGTCGAAGAAACATACGGAAAGTGGCACGGAACAACCTTGTGATTAGTCTGAAAACCCGCCGTCCATGGTTACCAATATATATAAATTGGACATCGTGGATTCATCCACACTTGCACTCCAACTTTTACATACGATCGCTTTTATGTTGGATAAACTCGGTACACCATTCGCTGAGCATGTTAACTTTGGGGGTGGGTGTGTCTCTGGTTCCCGCAAATCGATTGTTTTTTGTTTATGGCTTTGCGAAGTACTTTCTGTTTCGGCCAGTCGTTGCAAGGTTACCGCGAGCCGTTTGGCGGTTGGTTGCTATTTTGCGTCTCTGAAGTTGACCTCTACTTTTCGATCACTTATCGTTTCCTGGTCGTCATTCTAGGACGATAGTCTTGTAGTTGTTGACCCTGAGATGCCATCTTATTCTTCACAGCGTAAAGAGACCGATCGTGACGAAGTGGTCAGCGGGAAAGTTAGTTGCCTTCCCTGTGTCCTCTCAGGTGACAACCGAACTTGGTTTTCATGTGACGTAGAATAATGTAGATCAACAAGTAATGCTCACCAGACAGCTTCGTGTGCGGAGCCAGGTTGCTCCGTGCCTAATCGACGGATCCTGGAGGCATACGCAATTTAGATGGCTGCTTACAAAATGTTTTTGTCCATCCTCAACATTGATCTTCACATCCTTCACTCGAAGCATACCAGGTTACCGAAAATACTTGGATTAAGAGTTCGGCGTGCTAGATTCACAGAACAGTGAAACATGCAATCGCTTCCAGCACTCGTCATAAATCCGCAATTTCTCTTGCCAAATTAGTGAGGCGTGTGCACGACTTAAAGGTGATGGTGGTCTTTCTAGTGAGCTGTGGGTGATGGGTACTCCTTGGAGCAACAGATCATTCTTCCATTACAGTAAAAGCCGCTCTCTCCACACACACACACACACACACACACACACACACGGTTGACTTTGTGAGCTGATCTGTCTGTTACTTGATTCTTCATTGTAACTCAGGTCATCAACACGGTATTTGGGATTCGGCCCATATCCTCCTCATTCTTCACCGTCAGGAAGATTGTCTGTCACTATCTTTTTCTCTTACTGTGTTTCTGTTTTCGGTAATCCGATTCCGTTATATCAACTGTGAACCGAAATTTGTCCTTCCTTCTCTTTAGTCAATACAAGATGATCACTATGAACTGAAGTTGCCAAAGGTTGACATTTCGAACACCGCATATGCGTCTTTGATAAATAAGTTCAAAAAAGTCAACGAAATGTGAGTTTTAATGTCTTTTTTTATTTTCCAGAGCATCCCAGACTTCCGAGGTGCCATAGGAGTTGAACTCTATATCGTTTTATTTGAGACCCCATCGTCCTATTGTGTGATGCGAAAATTTTGTATTGATACTTGATTGATAGAGATAGCCTGATCAAGGAACAACAGGTGTTCTTTGAATGATATCCCAGTATCATTGTCTTTCGTCTGATGTGCAAAGTGACAAATAGCTGTTGAGTGGGTACAGGCAGTCGGCATGTGTTTGTCGATTTGAATTTATTTATCTGCATGGCTACTTAGTTAGTCCATCTCCATCGTTCTTGATGCAGTGGAGGTCTTATTGTGTTACTGGCAATTTACTTGGCAGAAGGGATGAACGCAGTTCATTTGCTTCTAGATGGGTGAAGATGGTTGTGTTCAGTTGTTGGATCTGGCGATATTGCACGTAGGCGTCGAAGCACGGACTCCACTATACCTTATTTGGGGTTTTATGGATTCGATTACAGTAATCACAATTAACACAACAGATTTCCCTTTGGTTTGGTCATTGGTTTACGTAGTATTTATAACGGTATTCTGTGTATTTAGGGATGATGAATTAGCCGTCAAGCTGGAATTGGTTGCGGATACTATTCATCTGTATAGTGATACGATACGTTGCACTGCACTAACTACTAGGTTTGAGAAGAACGGGATTAGGTTCCAAGAAACAATCGTGACTTGCTTTCTGGGAATAACCTAGCTCTATTGCATCATCAAACAGCAGAAGTTGCGGTTTTTAGCACCATTCCAGTTTTCCAAATCATAACTGGCGACATTCTCAGTAGTTGTCATGAGGAGACTGTGATATGTGACAGTGTGTGCCTCTGCAGACCATTAAGTCACAATGAGGGATGTCCCTGTGACACTCAGTCTCATACCAGTTTCATCAATAGTTGAAGGCCTGACTAACACAGCCTCCTGGCCCTCAAAGTTTGGGGCTGGAACATGTGTGACAACTCTTTTATAAAAATGATAATGCAGCTACCTTTCCCGCCAAACACCGCTGCTTTGCGGTCAGGGGTTTGGGGCTGGAACGTGTGTGACAACTCCTTTTATAAAAATGATAATGCACCTACGTTTCCCGCCAAACACCGCTGCTTTGCTGTCAGGCTTTGGTCGAGGACCCTAATCTTTTTCTTGTGAGATCTGGGCGCCCTGGCTGTATTTCAACCCACATGACTGTGAATTAAACATTTACAAAAGTCATGGCTCAATGGTAGGGAAGCATCAGTGTTGTGTAATCGTTACGCTGTCGATAATGATGACTCAGAACTGCTTAAGACTGGCTCAGAGGCTTTGTCGCACTTTGCGGATCAGTAAAAGTTAAATTGTGATTTTGCCATTATTGTTAACTATCCCGCATTCCTGCAACAACCGCTTCTGAGTGGCGTTGTTTACGCACTCAA